TTTGAGCCCCGGTGCCGCCCCAGGTGTGGCCGGCCAGGAAGGGACCATGGGAGGTTGGCTCCAGGGCATGTCTGGCCTTTCTCGCCCAGTCCTGCCCTGCTGGCCATTTTTTAATTAATTTCCTTTCAATGTGCATGAATCTGTGCACCAGGCCTCTAGTCTTATTATAAAAGAATATACCATCCCTCAAAAAACACCTCCAGGCTTTTGTCCTCGGGATGAACGTGGCTAGGAGACCTTGTCCTTGCTGGTTGGGAGAGTGGGAATTGGGTATCCATATGCCACACAGCTAACTCAGAGCTCATATCTGTGCTTGATAACTCAAGTTGATACAGGATATTGGCTATCGGATGAGTCGACCTTAGAACGTTCTCTCCTTTCTACCCTCACTCCCCACTCTGGCCATTTACACATTCTCTCTTCTTACCCACTATAAAATCATCCTGCGTTATTAAATTAGAGAAAGGAGATTAGTCATTTCCAGGTAAACAGGCAGGACTTGTTGGTCCACACCCTATTATTGCCCTCAGCCTTTATGATGGAAATGGGAGTGATTCAGTCCTCTCTCACAGCCCAGGATTATTGTATGATCCTTTGAACACTGTTACATGATTTACATACAATGGGTATCAGGGAGTTCCAGTATTATCTTCCCATTCCCTTTATGAACTTCCATCTTCATTTCTACCAGTGTTTTCAACTAATGAACTAGTTATCTTTTCTGCAAAAATAATTTTAAAAAAACAGCTACCATCTATTCAATTCTTAATGTGCCAGGTACTCTGCTAAATGTCTTATAGACATTAATCCTTTTAATCTTCATAGTAACCATACAATATGGGTACTATTTTCATCCCTACTTTATAGATGGGAAACCGCAAGTTAGAGAGATTGTGTGACTTGCTCCCAAACCAAGCCAATATGTGAAGGAACCAGGTTAGGCCTAGAGTTATTCAACTCCAGAATCTGAGCTCTTCACCATCACACCATGATCCCTAGGAGGCTGGGGCAGGAGAAGAAACAAGTGAATTCTATTTGTTGCTGCATTGATTTTGTTCACCTTTTCCTTACATTCAGGTAGGTAATTATTGCAGGCAGTAGAGGGGGAAAAATAAAATCTTATATCCATGTAGACATCACACCTTTCATCTGTAAATTTCCTGTATTTCTTTCTTATGGGTAAGAAATGATAAAGGAAGAAACCTAACAGCAGAATTCCTAGCAATTTCTAGCCTGATTCTCCTATTTCTTGATAATAGGGAGTTTGACCTTTCGGAAAAGATGATCTTTCAAGCTCGACCAATAAAAGTCTCATAAGAAACACCTCATCAAGCACACATGGAAAGAGGCCAATTGAGTTCAGCTTCTCATTTGGAATTCATCCTCTGACCTTCTGCTGGGAACAACAGTAAAGGTAAATCACTCTCTCATCTTCTGCCTCCATTTTTAACCTGAGCTAACTTATCAACAATTCATTAGGATTATAACAATCACTGTGTAGCAACCATGGGAAAATTAGATGGTGTGTCTTTAAAGACAGTGTGTCTTTAATAAGTGGTATTCCCATAGCCTGTCATTTAATAGCTATTTAGTCTATTGCCGATGCACAATACAGGTTTCTGATTCAGGATCTCATTCTGTTCAAAACAACATTTTAAAAAAATTAGCAGCTTAGCCCTGACCAGATAACTCAGTTGGTTGGAGCATCATCCTGATTAGGCACATATAAGATTCAACCAGTGGGTGCATGGATAGGTGGGACAACAGATCTATGGCTCTCTCTCTCTCTCTCTCTTCCTTCCTCTCTCTCTCTCTAAAATAAATTTTAAAAAATTAGCCCAGCTGGTGTGGGTCAGTGGTTGAACATTGACTTATGAACCAGAAGGTCATGGTTCGATTCTTGGTCAGGGCATATGCCCAGGTTGCAGGCTCCGCTCTCCAATGTGGGGTGTGCAGGAGACAGCCAATCAGTGATTGCTTCTCATCATTGAGTTTCTATCTCTCCCTCTCCCTTCCTCTCTGAAGTCAATAAAAATAGTGGGGTTTTTTTAATTAGCAGCTTAGAAATTCAGGATTTCTTTTGGCTAATCAGGGTCTGACTCTAGGAACAGAGAAAGGATATTGCAAAGACAGCTCAACTTTTAGATCCCAATGATTATCACAGTAGTTGAATTTCTTAGGGAAACTAAAATCTTTGGGAGGGGGAAAAGGAATTGTCTTGATTCTCTTCTACTGTTTTGGTTTAACCCCCATATTGCTTTAGGAAGTTTGGTCCTTAAGAACACATGTTTTAGTAACAGACAAATCCGGTTTAAACCTGGTTTCCCATACTTTGTAAAATTAACTGGGGCAAGTTATTTAACCTCTCTGAGGATCAGTCTCCATCTATAAAATGGGTTGTGAGAACTGAATGCATCTTCTAGATAAAAGACTAGTAAAGTGTCTGGCACAGAATAGAATCTAGATACATGCATGGCAAAAGGAAAGAAAGAAAGAAAGAAAGAAAGAAAGAAAGAAAGAAAGAAAGAAAGAAAGAAAGAAAGAAAGAAAGAAAGAAAGAGTCATATTGCATTTTTCTAATCAACCAATTTGAAAACTATAGGGTGGCCTACACAAAACAAGACCAAGGCCAGAAGCACAATAAAGATTCACCACAAAAAAAAAAATACAGGCTACAGAGCAGATTTTGCTATAAGAAAGGTCTATTTAGGACCCATCAAAAGGGAGCTTAGTGATTATTGAGACACTTCTTTCCAAGGAAATTCACCCATATTACATTTCCCACGGACCCAAAAGGAATAACTCATTTGAGACACCAGTGGATGAAGATGAAAAACTCACCCTTAACAGAGTAGTAGCGTGGCAATTTGCCAAGATTATCAACAATAACTGACATCAAAGAAAAAGGCTTTTGAATTCAAACCCAGCTGATTGGCAGGAAGAGAGGACAAAGGGAGCCTGGGTACCATGTGGAACTAGAGTCTGAGTTGGACTTAACCCAGAGTCACTGAACAACCTAAATCACGTGACTCAAACCATGTAGCTCTCCTCCGTCCAGATCTCTGGATCAAAATAACTTCTTCCCAAAATAAAGCCGCTGGGAAACTTTTGAGTGGAGTTTGATACTCTTGAAACAAACTGTATTTTAAAAATATATTTTTATTGATTTTAGAGAGAGGTAAGGGAGAGGGAAAGGAGAGGCATGGAGAGATATATTTTTTTGTTGATTTCAGGGAGGAGAGATAGAAACATCTTTTTTTTTTTTCTTTTTTTCAGAGAGGAAGGGAGAGAGAGAGAGAAAGATAGAAACATCAATGATGAGAAGATGAGAGAGAATCATCTATTGGTCCCCTCCCGCACACCGCTCACTGGGGATCAAGCCCACAATCCAGGCATATGCCCTGACTGGGAATGGAACCATAACCTCCTGGTTTATAAGTTGACACTCAACCACTGAGCCACACTGGCTGGCCTTGAAACAAAATATGAATGGCAATAGTTATATAGCTCATCCCAGCTGGCAGACCTATTGTGGACTTGGCATAGGAAGACTCACTCAAACTTGCCCAAATTCAGTTTCATTATTAGGGATGTATCATTGATTTCTGAATGAAACTGAGAAACCCACAAGTAACATAAGGTTTGTTTTGTGTGTGTTTTTTAAAGCCTTCATTCTGAGCCTTATTGATTAGAGTCAGATGAACAAAAATGCAAACCAAATCTCAGTATATACCAAGCCATAAGACGTAAAATGGGGGAGGCGGAATGGAGGGAATAAGTAACAAAACAAGCCAAAGAGAAAATTGCCAAATTCTCACAGAATCTACAGAGAATGGGAGGAGAAAACATAGAAGCTAACAGGAAAATATTTCAAGAAGGAAACTGTGGGAAAATGGGAAAGTGCCTTGAAAAGAAGCCAAGGTTTAGTGGGTGGGAGAGATAAAATGATAACATCTGCTGCCGCCTCAGCTAGGAAAGGAAGAAGCGGGCGTGTCCTTAAGACCCAGAAGAAAGGAGCGGGCTCCTGGAGAGAGGGCCAGAGGCTGCGCTGTGTGAGCTTCAGATGGGAAGAACCTCAGTCACATCACAGCCATGGACTCAGGGCTGTGGCTGTGAACAATGAACAGAATGAGAATGTGTCTACCCCTCCACAGGGAATGTTTTTCTTCTGAGGTAATCTGTAGGGAGAGTCCATATAGTTCTCTCACAGCTCTGTGCTGAGGGGAAGTGGCAAGAAAGGGTTAACCTGCCCACAAGCCAGAAGACTGAGGGAGGGTAGCTGAGAGGTGGTGGCATTCAGTGACTCAGCTAGGTCTTGGCAGCTGGAGACGTGACATCCAGCTCAGCTCTTCCATCTGTCATCCCAGGGCCCTGGTAGTCTGTCTGCCCCTGGGATTCAAGAAATTACCAGCTGCCCCTAGTTATCAGCTTCCTGAGACAGTCGCAATCCTCCAGGAAGACCCCAAAAGCGGGGCCATGAACATCCCCATTTTCTAAACGGCCTTCTCACCCATTCCTCACCCTTGCTCTCATTTCCCATTTTCACTCGGGTGAAAGGATGCAATTCCAGGTTTTGCTTTGTTGCGTGTTTTTTTTTTAAATATATATATTAAAAAAACACCTGACATGGCCTTAGCCAGTTTGGCTCAGTGGATAGAGCGTCAGCCTGCAGACCAAAGGTTCCCGGGTTCGATTCCAGTCAAGCGCACATACCTTGGTTTCAGGCTCCTCCCTGGCCCAGGCCCTGGACGGGGCAAGTGCAGGGGCATCGATATTTCTCTCTGTCTTTCCCTCTCTCTTCCACTCTAAAATCATAGCCTCAGGTGAAGATTAAAAAACAAACATGACATAAATGAGTTTATTTTCATGGTCCTTGACATCTGCTGGCCTGTGCAGGCTCCCTTGACATCTGCTGGCCGGTGTGGTTCTGTGCATCTGTCAGCCTCCTGAAGTCCTGATTGTCTCCAGAAAGAAGGCTCAGCGTCTTGAACGCTCTTGTGTCAAAGGTCTTGTTCCCCATCTTGCTTGTGTTCTAAAGGCTCATTGGGTTCATTTTTTCTGTGAACCCAGACTTTACTCCTTTGATTATGAAACCAAATGCAAACTTTGGACTCTGGAACCTCAATTTCCTCAGCAAGTTGCTCTCTGGAACCAATCCCAGGATACGGGTTTTTCTCAAATGCCTCCCGGTGGGTGTGTACTTGGAAGGGAGTGTAGGCGATACAAGGCTGTCTACGTCTAGTTTGCATCTTCACCAAAGGGCGCCCTTGCTTGTGATCTTGGTCTTGCCTTGCATCTACATCCTCCTCTGCCTCTGCTCTCCTTTGGGCTGGGTGCCTCTGTCTTTGATTCTGAAACCAGGTCCAGATTCTAGACTCATCAACATCTATTTCCAAAGCAACCTTCTGTATGGTAGTGTAACCTGGGTAAGGTTTTTGGTTGAATGCTTGGATGAGGATTTTCGATTGATCTTCTGTGAATTTGGTGCAGCTTCGTCGACCATTCATCCAGTCGGGAGAGCTGTCTCAAGCCATGTTGGGAGAAAGAAGTCCCAGCCTTCAACCAGGAGCCAGGTTTTGTTATTTGAAAAGACAGTAACTGCTGACCTGACATTGCCACTTGGATATCTCACAGACCTCTGCGACTGAACTCATCCAAAATGAACTCAGAGTCCTCCCCGCCCACCCACCCACACAAAAAACTCCTGCTCCATCCAAAGGTCCCTCCTTTCATTGAATGGCAGCAGCATCCTTCCTTGGTCCCTTCTCTTTTGCTTGCACCCTACATCCAGTCCATCAGCAAATGCTGTTGGTTTGCCATTAGACTGTACCCAGACTCTCACCACTCCTCACCCACATCCATTATCTCTTACCTGGATTTTTGCAGGAGCCTTCTAACTGGCCTCTGTGCTTCTGCCCTTGTCCTAGAACATAAAACACAGAAGGCTGACTGGGACTTTTACACTTTAAGAAAAGCCAAAGCACCTCTCTACGCCGACCCTCCAGTGATATCCGGTCTCAGTTGGAGTAAAACCTGAAGTTCTTATTGTGCCTACAAGGCCCTGCCCACTCTGGCCCCAAGTACTTCACCTGTTTCTACTTTGCCTTCCTCATTCCGCTCCACCCAATGGCCTCCTTTCTCTCCTGAAAATATGCTAGGTCTAACTAAAGTTGCCAGAATTAGGAGATAAAAATACAGGACACTATTGTTGTTGTTGTTTTGTTATAAGTACCAGTATGTCCCAAATAATTGAATGTCACATACTTATATTTTAAAATTATGTGTTGTTTAACAGAAAGTCTCAATTCCTGTATGTTCTCTGGCAAGGCCAGCTGTAACCCAGCTCAAGCCCTTTGTACTACTTGTTCTTGCTGCCTGGATACCCTTCTCTGATATGTGTGTGACTCCCTCCCTCACCTTCAATCTTTTGCTCAAATGTCACCTTGGGGAAGTGGGCCCTTGTCACATGAAAAATTACAATCTGGTTCTTCCTAAGCTTGTTCTCTTTATTTTTTTCTCTAAAACGTATATATTGTTGTTCTCTCCCAACTAGGATGTAAATGTCATGAGTACAGGGTTGTTCTGCTGTGTTCACTGCTGGCTCCCTAGCCCAGAGCCTTAGACACCCAGTAAATCATCAATGAATGCTTGTTGAATGAATGAAGATACAAACCTCTCAAAGCTGTTGATAATAAAATGGCCAACAATACTAGTAAATTGCCTCTGATTTGAGGCTCTCTATACTCTACCCTCCATCTATTTTGAGGTTACTAAGAAAAGCTCATCTCACTCCCACCAGAGCAACCCCAGAATAAACCACCTTTCCTGGCTCCCCATAATAGGAATATCTTATTTGATAATGATTTTAAATATAAAAACTCCAAACTTCACAAAATGTATATAATTCATTAGCTTACTTTGCTTAGAGCTTTACAGCTTACAAAATACTTTCATCACATGACCACTTGGAAGGCCTTAGAGCCAGCGGTTCTCAACCAGTGGGTCGCAACCCCTTTGGCGGTCGAACGGCCCTTTAACAGGGGTCGCCTAAGACCATCCTGCATATCAGATATTTACATTACGATTCATAACAGTAGCAACATTACAGTTATGAAGTAGCAATGAAAATAATTTTACGGTTGGGTCACAACATGAGGAACTGTATTTAAAGGGCCAGAAGGTTGAGAAGCACCACCTTAGATGCAATAAAACCAGATTCATGAGGACCATGGTTTCACAATGGAGAAATCTGGTTTCCATCATCATTACATTTGCAAAGACAGTAATATCCAACCCAGCCCCAAATAGTTCAGCAGAATCCCAGCTGAAAATGTTCTCTTTAGAATCCAGCTGAAACCGTCCATATGGTGATAAATAACTTGTGAAAGTCATCAGCAGTGGCTAACCCATTGACTTTATATGTGTATATGTGTGTGTTGCATGTATGTGGCTCATTCAGGAGACCACTGGCCTGCAGCACCTACCCTGAATAATGCAAGCCAGATCAATTACAAGCACATCTCTGAGACCTTGCTGTTCAGTTCCAGACCACGGCAATAAGGTAGCACGATAAAGCCACTCGTAATCTTTTTGCTGGTGGAGGGTCTTGCCTTCATTTGTAAAGAATGCAACACCTGTGAAGCACATGAAACGAAGCACAGTAGAAAGAGAGGTATGCCTATGCTGAACATGTGACGGTTTTATAATCATCAAAGTCTCTTCAGTGTTTACGTTAGAGCATGAGAAAAGTATGCATTACTACGTGCCTCAGAGTGAGCCAATACGCAGGCCCTTTAATTTTCAATTGGAGGAAAATAACAGTTAACACATTCACATACTGCAAGCCAGGTTCCCTGAGTCCTTCTGGAGAAGGCTGCTGAACACAGGTGCGCCTTAGACTGTTAAGGCAACCGTGGGTCTATCTATGCATTGGAAACACCTGGGGAGCATCTGATATAATTGATGGGGGGGAGGGGGGCAGGGTAGCCTGAACCCTGGGGGTTTAAAAGCTTCCCAGGTGAGTCTAATAAACAGCCAAGGTTGGTACCACTCTTTTAAAGTTTCCCCAAAATGCACAGTGAAAAAGCTCATTTCAGTTTTCAGTGAAGAAGCCACATTTTCCAGCTTTTAAAAGCTCCTCTCCAGATTACAGTGAAGTAGATGAGTTTAAGAGAAAAAAAAATCTTCTCTGAGTTTATCTAAAATCAATGTGTACTGTTTGAGGGAAAAAATATCCATGCTTTAATATAAACAAAGGAAGTTTCAGTTCAGCAGCCTGGGAAACTCCCCAATTTAACATAGCCCTCCAACGATTCTCACGTGCCATAACTGCGGCAGCAGGAAAAATAACTGACAATACACTCTTTATTCACACCAAACACGCCAGTGGACTTCAAAAGAAAATCAACATTTACAGTTTAATTACTGTTTATTCTCTGTATTCAAATCAGCTTTCTTTGGCTGCCCCCATCTAAATGCTCAGAAGGGGATTTAATCATCTGATCTAATTCTTCCAAAGAATAGAAAGTTATTATTATGATAGCATGCTGAAAAAAATAAACAAATGCAAAATAAATTATATAAAAGATCACCACACTGGGTATTTTTTAAACCCCTGTAAGATAAAACAGTTCATTTTTTATTTATTTTTACATATATTTTTATTGATTTCAGAGAGAGAGAGAAATGGAAACATCAATGATGAGAGAGACTCATTGATCGGCTGCATCCTGCACACACACACACACACACACACACACACACATGCACACACACACACACACACACCAGGGATTGAGTCTATAACCCGGGTATATGCCCTGACAAGGAATCAAACCATGACTTTCTGGCTCACAGATCGATGCTCAACCACTGAGCCATGCCAGCCTGGCAACAGTTCATTTTTAAAGGCAGTAATTTGGGGGCTAAAAAGCCTGATTCCTATTTCTTAACTGAATTTCACCTTATTATGTCTATGCTAACAGAATGATATGCATCAATGAAAAATATCTGTATTTAAAGTCATTGTACTACCATTTACACCAGTGTTATCCAATAGAAATACAATGCAAGTCACTTAGGTAATTTGAATTGTCTACCGTGGTCGGCAAACTGTGGCTCTTTGGCCCCTTGAGTGTGGCTCTTTCTAAGCCTTAGCAGTACCCTAATTAAGTTAATAACAATGTACCTACCTATATAGTTTAAGTTTAACAAATTTGGCTCTCAAAAGAAATTTCAATTGTTGTACTGTTGATATTTGGCTCTGTTGACTAATGAGTTTGCCGACCACTGGTCTAGTAGATGTATCAAAAAGTGAACAGGAGCTCTGGCTAGTGTTCTCAGTGGTTAGAGCATCGGCCCACACACTGAAGTGTCTCCATTAGATTCCAGTCAAGGGCATGTACCTGGGTTGCAGGTTCAGTCCTCATCCCTGGTCAGGTCAAGTGCAAGAGGCAACCAATCAATGTGTATCTCTCACACCAATGTTCCTTTCTCTCTCTCCCTCTTTCTCTCTCCCTCCCTCCCTTCCACTCTCTCTCAAAATCAATGGAAAAATATCTTCAGGTGAGGATTAACAACAACAAAAGTGAACAGGAACATGTGAAATTAACTTTAGTAATTTATTTAGCTTTAACTGGGTATATTCAAAATATTATTTCAATGAAATTAATATAAAAAGTTATCAATAGATGAAACTAGACCACCAACTCACACCATACACAAAAATAAACTCAAAATGAATAAAAGACTTAAACGTAAGATGAGAAACTACAAAAATACTAGAGGAATCCACAGGCAGAGAAATCACAAACATATGCTGAAGGAATTTCTTCTCTGATACTGCTCCTAGGGCAATGGAAACTAAAGAGAAAATAAACAAATGGGACTACATCAAAATAAAAAGCTTTTGCACAGCAAAGGAAACCATCAACAAAACAACAAGAAGGCCCACTACATGGGAGAACATATTTGCCAACGATATCACCGATAAGGGTTTAATCTCCAACATTTACAGGGAACTCATGCAACTTAACAATATGAAGATAAACAATCCAATCAAAAAATGGGCAATGGACCTAGATAGACACTTTTCGAAAGAGGACATACA